TCTACAAAAGAGATTGTCCTAAGATGAAGGAGAAAAGAGGAAAGTAGAAAATAGATAATTCGGCAAATATTGTTGACACTGGCAATAATTCTGATGATAGTGACTATGTAGGGGAAGTCTGTGCTGTGAGTTCAAGTCATGGGAAGAATTCTTGAGTTCTTAATTCTGGTGCTACTTTCCATAGGTATACACACAAGAATTGGTTTACAACTTACAAGCAAATAAGTGGGACTGTCTATATGGAAGATGATAATCCATTACCAATAGAGGGGATTGGTAACATCAAATTGAGAATGTTCGATAGAATTATCATAAACATTGAGTGTTGGCATGTTCCTCACATAAAGAGAAATTTGATTTCTCTTTTGACTTTGGATGATCAAGGGTATAAATTTTACTCTGAGAATGGAATACTTAAAGTGTGTAAAGGCTCCATGGTACTCATGAAGGGTAAACTACATTCTAAATTGTATCATCTTCAGGCCAGTGTAGTTGAAGGGGAAGTTGTTGTAGCTTCTGAGAAAAGTGACCTTAATCAGTCTCAGTTATGGCACTTGCGACTTGGGCATATGAGTGATAAGGGATTGCCTTTGTTGAGTAAGCAGAATTTGCTAAATGGGAACAAAAATCAAGTTTTAAATTTTTGTGAGTATTATGTGTTTGGTAAAGAGACAAGGTAAATTTCAGCAAGAAGGCCAAGCACAAGAACAGAGATAAGTTAGATTATTTATATTCAGACTTGTGAGGTCCAAACAGAGTTCCCTCTAAGAGTGGTGTTAGGTATTTTATGACTTTGATTGATGATTACTCAAGGATGGTGTGGGTGTATTTTCTGAAAATAAAAGATGAGGCATTTCCGACATTTGTTAAATATAAGACGATGGTTGAGAGGCAAACGGAAAGAAAAGATAAGCGTCTTCGAACTAACAATGGGTTGAAATTTTGCAATTCTGAGTTCGATAATTTCTGCAGCAGAGAGGGCATAGTGAGACACCATACTTGTGTCGGAACACCACAACAAAATGGTATTGCAGAATGTATGAACATAACGCTTTGTGATAAGGAACGAAGAACACTTTCACACTCATGTGTTAGTAAGATTTTTTGGGCTGAAACAATCAATACAGCTTGTTATTTGATCAACAGATCTCTATCCACAGCTATTGAGTTCAAAAATCCCTTTGAGGTATGGTCTGCTTCGCCTACTAATTATTCAAATTTAAGAATATTTGGTTGTCCTGCTTATGCTCATGTGACGGATGGAAAACTTGAGCCGAGGGCAAAGAAGTGCATATTTCTAGGGTATGCAACTGGAGTGAAAGGTTATAGATTATGGTGCACAGATTAAAAGACTCCAGGGCTAATTATTAGTAGGGATGTAACATTCAATGAATCTGCCTCACTGGACAGTCAAGGGAGAAGGCAATAGCAGAAACAGACCGTGGTGTCAGTTATCGCATAGAGCTAGAAATTGAATCTCTACTAGCTCAACCCAGTAGTTTTAAATGAGAGGAAGTGGAGGAGGTGCAAAATATTGATCAAGATGATAATATTAATGTACCTGCGCAAGAAGAACCATATAGCATTGCAGCACAAAGAGAAGAGATTGACCAATCGACTACGAAAGTTTGCAAACGTAGTTAATGGGAATCTTCTTGGATATACTAATCCTATAAGATTTTTTTTGGCAGTT